TAAAAGAAGGCCCTTCACTCTGAGGTGCTTAACCAGTTGATTAGCATCTTGAGCATTTAACAAAGAGTAGAAGGCTAATATGTCCATAGGTTTGAAGGGCCAGTCTGTTCACATGTGTTATTAATACTGAGATATAATACTGATAACACGCTTCTTATATGTGCGAGGTACGGGTTGGGCTATATTAATCTATATATAAGGTGAGGACGCATAGCCAAAATTCAGCCTAAAGCTAAATCCTAAAATATAATGTTTTGCTATTTGCAATCTTCGCCCAAGTCTCAATCGTCAAGAGTCAGCAATTCAAGTGTCAACAATGTTCAAAGGTTCTGCAGATGTTTCAAAAATTAAGAGCCACATAACTTTAATTTTTTTTTCATCTACTTAAAGAGAAAACTGAGTAAGATGTGTGAATTGTCGATGAGTGTAACTTTTTTGTAATTCCCTTGTTTTAGGCGGATTTTTCAACTCGCCCACTTCGCTACCGAATGGGACTCAAGGTCTAGACTTAAATTTACTTTAACAGTTATATCGTGAAAAAATTGCCCAAGCCACCTTACACTTTTTGGGGACGCCTCAGGTGCCGAGTAATGAACCCAGCCCCTCCTGAAGGTGACGTACTGCCTGGCGGGGATGCACACATTGGTTTTAAGCTAATATTAATTTCAACTTTTCTGGCAGAGGCCAGGAAGGGATTCACTTGTTTTAAGTCTAGCAAGTATGTGGGATACATAATTTTTGGCATATTTCGACATAATTCTCGGTGCTCCAACAACTACCGGTAGTGTTATTATTATTCATAATATAATTGGCTTTTTAATTTGATTTTCCAGTGCGCCAACGAGTCTACCGAATGTGACACAAGGTCAGTTTAAGTGGATTTGACGGTAATACCGTGGAAAAATTGCTCAAGCCCCCGCGGCACTTGCCCTATTTAGGAACGCTCAGGTGGTGGATAATGACCCCAACCCCCTTCCTAAGTAGAGGTACTGTCAAGGAGGATGGCCTCCCTGGGGCTTGAGTTAATATTAATGTCAACTTTTATGGAAGACGCCAGGAATTCATTTTTTACAGGTATTTGGGGTACATATTTGTTTGCATTTTTCGACATCATTCCCAGTGCTCTAACGACTACCGGTACTGTGATTATTATTATTATTATTATTATTATTATTATTATTATCGTCTTTTAAATAGATAATGCCATTCTTATATCTGGGTTTTAACAATCAAAGCAAATTGACATTTACTGGGCATTCGAACTTGCGACTCCTTCCACGCGTAGAACTGCAATTCGTTACCGATAGAAAACACTTTGGTCGATGGTCCAACTGCACCCAAAGACTTTCTCCCCCAAAATCTTTTTCTTTCTCTCTCGCTCTCTCTCCTTGACCTTTCGTGTTGGGAAGAGACATCGTGCAACAAGGTTACAGCTTTTGGGGAAGATGGCGCAGCAGTCACAAACACGAAACACCGTTACTCACTTCTCAAAAACCTGGTCCAGACAGGGTCGTACACAGGATACAAACCAGAGAGGGAAGGCGAATATTCCAATTTCCGGTGCCAATGGAATTGGTCCTCCTCCGCTGATCATGATTAAGCGCCAGACGCGTCGGGCGCGCTCCCGCGCCAACACTGTGGTAAATGCACATCTACAAAAAGAAAGAAATACAAAACTGAAAAAAGCAACAAATGTTTTGTAGTGTTGTTTTTGGTCAAAATAGTCGAGAAGTGGGAAGGCCTTAGTTAGAGAGAGAGAGAGAGAGAGAGAGAGAGAGAGAGAGAGAGAGAGAGAGTTATGAAACACTCATACTTAGGAGTTCAAAATAGCCGAGGATTAGGAAGGCCGTACTTAGAGAGAGTGTCGAATGAACAGAAGACTAAGTAGAAAAAAACAAAGAAGAAGAGGTTTATTAAATACTCATACATAGGAGTTCAAAATAGCCAAGAATTAGGGAGGCCAGAGTAAGAGAGAGTATCAAAGGAACAGAAGACTAGGTAGGGAAAACAAAGAAGAAGAGGTTTATTAAATACTCATACATAGGAGTTCAAAATAGCCAAGAATTAGGGAGGTCAGAGTAAGAGAGAGTATGAAAGGAACAGAAGACTAGGTAGGGAAAACAAAGAAGAAGAGGTTTATTAAATACTCATACATAGGAGTTCAAGATAGGCGAGAATTAGGGAGGCCGGAGTAAGAGCGAGAATCGATGGAACTGAAGACTAGGTAAGGAAAACAAAGAAGAAGAGGTTTATTAAATACTCATATATGAAGAGTTCAAAATAGCGGAGAATTAGGGAGGCCATAGTTAAAGAGAGTATCGAAAGGAACAGAAGACAAAGTAGAGGAAAACAAAGAAAAAGATGCTTATTAGATACTCATATATAGAACAGAAATACTTGAGTAACTCAACTACTCCTTCAATCTTATTCTAATGTAGTTACTTGCCATATTTATAAATAAGAGTATGCCATTGTTACAATGATAAGGAAGCGCATGAAGAATGCTGTCATACTCTACCGTAAAAAAGAAAGGAAGAAAATTAGTTTTTGTAAGACAAGAATGTGATTTTTCACCGGATTATGCAACCTATACAATAAATCAATTCTATGAAAATTAGAAATACTACCAAGATTCATTCTTGGCGGTCTCAATCTTAACAAACGGAACATATGCAGATGACACAATTTTGATAGTAGACACGGAAAGAAAAATACAAATACTTCTACAGAAGGTCATGAAGGAAAACGAGAAGAAAGAATTAAATATTTACTGCAAGAAGACAGAATATATGGTTGTTAGCAAAGATGAGCCGAAAATTCAAATTACAAATCGTAGATCTTGGTGGAAAATCAACACCTCTATGAGTTATTTAATGCCAAAATGTAAATATTTTGAACACAATTTCGACTAAATATATTTTGTTTCAACTAAATATACTTTGAACGCAATTTAATACCTCCAACTACAGAGAAAATGCATTGATGATCAATTTGTTATAATACGTATTGTTGGTAATTTTACTATAACTATGTATTGTTTATAATTTTGTTTTATATAAGAATATATTGCTGGTATTTTTACTATAAAATATATTTTTTTACTTTCATAGAGATTTGTTTTTGTTTGGAGATTCACTATTTGGCCATAGCTAGGATTTTAACAGGGGCTGACACCCTGGGTCAGGCTGGACCTGGGAACAGCAGCAATTAAGAACAAATCGTAGATACAAAGGACAAAAATTTAAATATCTAGGAAGTTTTTTTGTGCTACACTGAAATCCGAAAGCGAATTGGGATAGCTAAAGATACCTTCCAAAACCTAAGCAGAGTATTAAGAAACAGAAAAAAACTTTGATAGAAACAAAGAAAAGTGTACCAAACTGTTATATGTTATCTGTCTTTCTATATGGTAGTGAATACTTGACCATCTCCTGAAAGAAGAGAATTGAAACAGCAGAAATATGGTTCGACAGATATATGCTTAGGATACCAAGGGCCGAATATCTGAGCAACGAAGAACACTTAGAGAAAATGGAAATAAAAAAGAAACTCATACTTAACATTAGAAGGAGACCGTTGAAACGATAATGAGGAAAGAGGAATTGGAAAATTCGATACTCACGGGTCAAATTGAAGGCAAGCGGGACAGAGGAAATAATGAATAATATATTTAGTGATCTTGAGTAAATGGATGGCGGAAAAAGTTTAGGATAAAAAGACAAAATTTATTAAGAGCTACAAAGAGAGGAAATTGTGGAGAGCGATGATCGCCTACGTTCTGAAGAGACATGGCACATAAAGAAGAAACAATCCAAAAAGTTAGAAAGCTTTGTCTGACTAAAAATCAAACATTCAACATTTCAGACAAAATGGAGTTTTAATTTTTTCAAATTTGAGGTACACATAATTTTAAGAAATGACATAATTTAAAGTGTTAACCAAGCTACTGAATTCAATATCCGTTTGCTTTATCGGTGGGGCCTAGTTTAGGCCGATTTTATAACATGCCTGTGACCTTCCAAAAAGAACCACCCATCGGATATTTGTGAATTCGGTTGTCGAAACGCCACTATCTGGATTCAATGTTTACTTTTGAATCTAGTATAGACATTGGTTTTGTCTATATTTATATACATAAGTAAACACTAGTTTATCTAAAATTGGATCAAAGGTAAACACTGGTAATTTCTATCTTCTTCTATGTGCTGTGTCCTTTCGGGATATAAGCGGTCATAACTCTTCACAACTTCCTATCTAGTGTGGCACTTAGCAGTTGTATCAGTAAATGATGAATTCTCCATAACATTCTTAAAATCCAAAATTATTTTCTGGTTATAAATAGCAAACAGAATGTTGATAAGGCGTAAAAACATTTTGTAGGCCTCCGTCGGTCAAGGTTGACCATGGGTAGCATCCTAGTTGTCTGCTTGGCTGGAGCATCGAACTCTGTGAATGTAGAGGTTAATGCGAGTGTGGCAATCTCTGTTGCAGAGGTCGCATGTGTGTTCTATCTCTGGTCTTTTGGAGCTGTCGCTTTGCTTTCTGCGGGCCCGCCTTTCCGTGGCGACTTGTATCAGCTTCTCCTCCCCTGATTTGAGGTATTTGGTCAGGGTTCCTCTCCATTCGGATCGTATGGCTGCCAGGCTCTCCCAGGACTCTGTGTTGATGTCCACAGTTTTCATGTCGCGTCTCACGACATCGTGGTACCACAGCTGTGGCTGCCTTCCAGAGGCCAGGTCCTCATACAGGAGGTCTTTGGAGATGCGGCCGTCTGACATGCGATGGACGTGGCCCAACCAACGGCGTCTGCGCTGTCTGAGCAGTGTGAACATGCTGGGCAAACCTGCTCGAGACAGGACCTGAGTGTGGCGGATGCTTCTCATGTGAAAGGTGTTCAGACGCCTTTCTTGCCTGGCGTACGTAGTCCAAGCCTCGCTTCCATATAACAGTGTGCTGATGACGCAGGCGTTGTACACTTCCATCTTGGTCTTGAGATTGGTCCACACACGTTTTGTGAGGCGCGCAGGTTTTGTGGCTGCCTTCCCGATTTTCTTGTCAATCTCTGCGTCTAAGGAGGGTTGTCAGTAATGGTTGAGCCAAGATACGTGAACTGATAGACCGCATTGAGCTCATAGTCATCAATGATGAAAAATCAAAATGGTAAAAGATCAAGCCATTAATCCAAACAGTAAATAGATTTGGTAGCATATTGGAATAGTTACAAAAAAATATTCAAATTTTAAAAAACATACCTAAAATCAGGAAAGGCATATGGATACTAAATTCTCACTAAAAATTGTGTAAAGAGAAAATTCCCCTAAAATATGTTATAAAATTTCCAAATTTTCAAATGGAATCAAGAAGTTATGTTTTTTAGGGGTTTCGGGTCTTTCAACATCACACCCCCACCTTTCCGTTGACCCATCCAATACTGATCGGGTATTGTCTCGTGTGCCATACGTCAGCAAAAACTTTGGTAATTTTTTTTAAAAATCGCATACTGCGACTACTCTTGGCAATTTATAGTTCGATTACGGATAACTTTCGGTTCACCAGTAATCTACGCTCTTCACCAGTAATCTACGCTCTTCCATAAAAAAGGAAGCAAACTCAGTAACGTTTTCCAACTGGATAGGAACATAGCTACGCGTATTTGGCTTGTATTGGTAAGTGACTAGTTGTTTTCCTCACTGAGATATATACATAAAAACACACACACGAACAGATGAGAGCGATTCTTCTCACGCTAATCTTATTTCATGTTAATCATTTAATAAACAAATAAAAAAAATTGTAAGACCCTACCCACGTGCCCATTATATATATATATATATATATATATATATATATATATATATATATATATATATATATATATATATATATCATGATCAAAACAATTTATAGAAAGAATTAAATAGCAATGTTAATATGATTAATGGCGAAATCACTTCACTAACAGGACTTACTATCAGTTCCTTGAATAATAAGATACTTATATTCAAGTTGTTGTCAGATGGAAGACACATGGCAAGTATTTTCGACAATTTCAAATTATCATCTTCAGGCCGCAATTTTCCCATACATGGGCAAAAACTAGGACGAAATATGTGTAGACCGAAAGATATTTTTTTAAAAATTATGCTATTTATTGACAGTTGAATATATGTTTTGGAACGTGTGATGTCGCGACGCTGGAGTTCTCATTCAAATCGATCATGTGAGAATTTTCGCACGCTCCAAAACAAGAACTACATTGAATCAACATCTACATCTACTGCAAGGAAAGTTAGTTCACTGTATCGTGCCAGAAGGTATTTCTCGTCAGCGTCCATCTTAGACATCTTCAAATTTACCATTCGTCCTTGCATTGAATACTGTTGCCATATCTGATGTGGTGCCACTGCCATTTATCCCGAGGTTCTCGACAAGATCCAAAAATGGATCTGTAATGTAATTGGACCTGAATTGGCTTCTCGATCTCAGACACTTTCTTATAGACGGGATGTGGCTTCCCTCTGTCATTTCTACAAATATTTTCATGGAACCTGCTCTGAAGAGAGTTGTACCCTGGTGTCCCTTCTACAAGAATGTAGTAAGCGTACAACTAGTTTGGAATTTAGGTCCCACCAATTTTCTGTTGATATAGTTAAATGTAAATATAGTTTAATGTTAAATGTACTACACCAGTTTCTTTCCTCGTACTTCCCAACATTTAACTCCTTTCATCTCACTTGCTTTCCTGATAACTGCAATTTTCAAAAAATTAAATGCAACGTCAATCGCCATTTACTGTTTTCCTTGATCACTGTACTTTTTCTCAACCTCCTTTACACCTACTCTTTTCTCTCACATTCACTCTTCGTACCCCCCCGCAAACCACACACCCTTCATGACAATGACACTTCTGGCGTGCCTGGTGTAAAATGCTTAAACATATATATTGAAAAATAAAGTGCCATACTAACCTATATTTTCTTGGATTCAGTTTAAACTGATGTCAAGTGTTCTCTCTATATATTAAACTATAATTATCGTTCGGTCTGTTTCTGTGTTCTTTTGTTAGCAGATATATTCTGCTCTGCCAATAATTAATGGAATATTTCGTTTTGATCGCGGGAAAGACAGAAAGGACATAACAGAGGCGCTGTTTGGTTTCAGTTAAACAAAAGAAAGAATGAATGAAGGAATGAAACAACGTGAGAGGAGGCGATCACACCCCCAAGCGTTTAATGTCTGCTTCAGTGAAAAGAAAAAAACTTGTCATTTTGAAATCTTTTATTTTCATCCGCTTACATTTAAAAAAAATACTGATCATCATTCGTATTTATAAATGTTATTGCAATATTTTCTTAAAGTTGATAACTAATGATACGATTGCGGAAATTTAGTCATGGAATTCGTAACTAAAACATTAACTTAAGAAATAAGAATTATAAAATAATCTTTAATTTAACATTTTTTCAAAGACTTCTTTCTCGTGTAACTATCTAGAATTTTAGCTGACGCCGAACTTTATTTTTCTTTGTTTGATTAATAAGAAACGCATTTCTCTGTCTGGTAGAAACAGCATTTGATTCTTGTTTTGCGTCCCCTAGTTTCATGTATATAAATTATATTTATTGTGAATATTCATTGGGATTCCATTTTTAAATGTTGTTATTTTATTCCCCTATCACAGACAATTTGTACATATTGGAACTAGTTAGGACTACTTAGAAACTTTGAGGTATTATGGTGACTGTAGTAAGAATGGTATGCAAGAATGTGTTGTTTTGGTGTAAGGAATACTGCGGTATGTTTAGGTCTGTAATCCTGGCTAGCTAAGTTTAAGATAAGACAGAAGGAAAACCAGCCTTCCCCTATCCCCTCTTTTTGGCTTTTGTGCCACATTTTTACATTAAAACAATATAAATATTTCTTTCCTCTATGGCACCTAGACTTTATGATTTTAACCACTGTAATAGATTGACTGCAAGATCTCATTATTTTACAGTTGAAATGGCTATATGTAACCGTAAGTTCTATGCGAATAGTTTCTCTATTGCACTTCTGCTCTGTGGAACATTCTTTTGGTTTCGTGTTTCCCAGTCAATTTTGATCTTCAAAAATTTACATGCAATATTAATCGTTATCTCCCGCCTTCTTAATTCTCGTTCTCTCTCCATAATAGGTTTTTTTCTCATATTCTATAACACTCAGTGAACCATTGCGTCGTAGCCTCTTTATTGCCTTATTTGAGGTGAAATGATTAAAAAAAGATTCTCATCGGAGTATTTAACGGAATTAGCTTCCAGTTCAATAAATATTTTGTAGGAAATGGGAAACGTCACGCACAATAAACTTTGAGAAAGATTCGTTATTACCGTTCTAAGAAAAGAATCTCTACAGAGAAACCGGGCCGTTATACACGAAAGGATTTCGTTCTGCATACACAGGAACATGACAGGTAGCATCCATTATTGGATTGGAACTTGGAGAAACGTAAAAGCAATAAGCCCATATTTCTAATGTCGCACAAGTCGACTACAGAATATAGAGCTTTAGTGAACAAAAAGAGTGTCTAAAATGAACGACCTCACACACCACACACACACACACACACACACACACACACACACACACACACATATATATATATATATATGTGTGTGTGTGTGTGTGTATGTGTGTGTGCTCTATATATGTATATATATATATATATATATATATATATATATATATATATATATATATATATATATATATATATATATATAAAGCTGCTTGTTTAAAGAGTTGTTATCGTCCAAAAATGCCTGGACCGACATTCTTTTTTTTTTTTTTTTTTGTAAAATAGGATCTTATTGTTACACATGCATATATAGAGCACACACGCATTGACACACACACACACATATATATATATATGTGTGTGTGTGTGTGTGTGTGTGTGTGTGTGTACGAGAGTAATGGATAGCATCTCGGACTGAGAGCCGAGTTCAAATTCTAGTTGGATCCGTTGCATTCACTTACGTGCTAATACTATTGGGAAAGGTATGAATCCTCTTCTTCTCCCCACAGCTATGGGTAAATAGACAGGAAAGACTGGGTACTATAGCTTTGGGTGGCAACCGGTCTAGGAGAAATGACTCTGAATTCAAAACTGTATGGATCTCTGGCTAAGTACATATTATTATACAGCTAAAAAAAAAATTAAAAATTCGAGTTAGAGCCCCTAACTTAGTTCAGCCTCCCTCGTTGCCACCAGCGACGGCGCCTGGTGCGAAACTGTAATGTTCCTGCTGTTCCTTTGGATCCATCAGTGAGGTGGAGAGAGAGGAGCATGCAGCATGGCCAACATCTTATATTCTGTTTTGACGGGATCAAATCCATGGTCATTCATGACTGGCGGAGGCCTATCTGATCTGATATATATATATATATATATATATATATATATATATATATATATGCATACATACACATATATAAAACCTATACATGTAAATCTAAAAAGGTTTGGCATAATGCCATCATATACATTAAATCCGTTAGTAGGACGACCTTTTGTGTTTCTTTTTACTGATGACACACAAACTAAATTCATCTTTTCAAAAATTTATAAAAATGCACGTTTTCTTCGTCGAATCACTTACCCGTATGAATGTCCAATGACAAGGTTTTTCTTTTTGCAATATCTATCAAAGATGGCGATTACGTCTGCCAAAATCTCCCGGAAGTGATATGCCCTCTTCTTGAGCGGCACTTCGCTCATGCCATGACCAATGAGATCGGGAGCTACGATTTCGAAACCGAGGCTGGAGAAGTAGTTGATTTGCGTCTGCCAAATGTCCGAGCTTCCGCCGACGCCGTGGAAAAAGAACAGCACAATATTCTTGAGGGCTGACACCGAACGAACTCCCATCTTGAACAACATTCGTTTCTGCTCTTTGGACAAGTTGGAAGGAAAGGAATTCGACTTGACAAAGCGACCTGCAAGAAATAAATTAGATTTCATTAAGGAAACGGTCTAAAGAAATACTGACTTCATCGAACGATAAGAAGTGCAACTCCCCTTCAATAAGAAACGTTCTAACTCCCCTCCGCTCCTGATTTCAATACAAAGTCTATTCGAAACATCACCAGCAATCTTTAACGTATCAAGACTAGGACTGGCGGTCCTGATGCAATTTGGCATGAAATATGATGAGACCATACTTGCGTATGCTTAAACAGATACTCTCCGGTGAGTTTATGCATGTTGTTAAATATGTATTTGAAATAAAATTCATAAATAAAGTTTTTATGCTTGGATAAGGAATGTTAAATAATAGTCTATAGTCTATAATATACTATTATTTTTAAAGAATTTTATTTTCCTCTGATTTCTTCATTTTGACCTTTGAGGTCAGACACAGGAAAACAAAGGAAGTCGTTTTTGATTGGCTAAAACTAGCGTGGGAATGAGAGATAGAACAGGATTTCAGGTAGTTAAATTTTACTCGTCGAAGAATGTACACGGGTTATATAGTGTATGGAAACTGTTCCCCAGTGGAGTGGGATAGCAACCCCATTAGCTAGTTAGAACATGTACCAGTCGACGTGGTTAATAAATAATAAATAAGTTTTAAATCCCTTTTGTTGAAGTTCTCTTTTATCTCCGAACAAATCAACTGGCAATCAACAGCCAAGAAAGAAAAGACAACGGTACGAGTGAATCAAGACCGTTACTCCAAGACCAACCCACCACAAAAGGGTTATACAACATAGTGACCGTCAAACATCATTCAGTGATCTTACGTTACTAAGGAAACGGTGCATCCAAAATAACCAAGCGTATAATTCATTGGAAAATCAATTCATTTACAACTCTCTTAGTCCATAGCTGACTTTCTAAAATATTACCTTGGTAAAGGCATGAATCTAGCTCCTTTTTCCTCGCTATGGGTAAAATAGCAATTTAGACACGGTTCACTAACCTTGACTAGAATCTAGTCTAATAAAAACATATCACAAATCGTGGATGTGATAACGGGATAGGATTCTGCTATTTTTTTATGGTAACTCCAAGATAACAAAAAAAAAAAAAGAAAAGAAAAAAGAGATTGTAGAGAGACATGACTGTCTGCGTCTTCAAGTGATATGGTATAAAGAAATAAATTTACTAAGATTTTACTTCTTTTTAAAATATATCCTGTAAAACATGAACATTTTTCAAACTAGGCCAACCGCGAATAAATGAAATCGTGGTTGACAATTTCGCGGATGGAGATGTACTGCCTGTAGCTTTTATTTATTTATTTCGAAGAAGTAATTAAAAAGTGAAGGAAAACAAAAAAAAAACATAGTGAATTCTGTGTATGAGTTTTTTTTTGTTTTGTTTTGTTTTTTGTTTTTTTTTCATTGGAAATTTGATTTGTCGATTTGTAGTTGTGTATCGTTAACTCTTCCCGGAGTTATGTATTTATCTACTTCAGGAAAGAGAGAGAGAAAGAAAGGGAAAGAGAGAGAGGGGGGGGAGAGGGATAGAGAGAGGGAGGGAAAGGGAGAGGGAAAGAAGGAGTGAAAGAGAAGAAAAGTGAAGCAGAGAAACTGAAAATCCAGCTAAGGTGAGCAGAGAATGTATTTCTACAAGGCGTCGTCAGAATTGTAGACTCAAAAAAAAAAAAATTTCTAAAAGCTAAGAAAGTCGATATAAGATTGATCTTTCCATGCAAAATGTTATTTAATCGCCTCGTTAATGCCATTATATCCAGGCTTCTTAAAAGAGAGCGACAGATTATCCAAAATTGTGAGTCGCATTTCAGAATTTACAGATCTTTACACATTTTCGCTAGTCTTTGAATTGTCAATTACTTCAGAATATTCACACTTTGACGACATAAAGATGGCCGATTTTTTTTCTTATCTCATTGTTCGAATGTGTCGAAAATTCCGACAATGTAACGATCTGAAGAAAAATCATTTTGACGCGTTGACGGATGCTGTAGTATGTCTTGCACGATCTTCCCATAATTTCATGTTCATATACAAGACTTCTCAGAATCCATATATACAGTTTGCGATGAGTAAATTGTCGCCTTTTTATATTTTAAATTTGGCGCATGCGCGTTGTTTGTTTTTAATTCTGTAGACAGCACATTATAGTAGGGTCAGTTGGGCACCGTCTGTGAGAAAAAGAACACCAGGACGCAATTTATTCCGCCAGAAATTTGTAAATGACATGCTGTACAGCTTGGCATTCGGTCCGGAAGCTCTAGTAAAAGCATTTCAGAGTGTTTTGGTGTTAATCTGAGGACAGTGCAAAGAATTAGGAAAGATATATCCAGTCAATTACATGGTGTTTGAAGTGATCACTAGTAGTGGCGACATTATGCCTCTATTCATCTTTCCACAGTGCCTTAGACTCAACACAGAGGCCTACATCAGGAGTCTTGAGGACGTAGTGCTGGCTTGCGTAAGGAGGATCGCTGCCGAAAGACCTTATGTTTGCCAACAGAACCCTGAACAGTACCAATCAAGCACGATAACCCATTCATAGCAGCCAGTAAATTTCTGCAGTCACATCACCCCTTACATCTAGCCACCTAACTCCCCAGATTGCAGCCCCCTTGATTATTATGTGTGGGGCGCAGTTGAGCGAGAGACTAACAAATCTACTTGCAACATCAAAGATGAACTGAAGGCAAGGATTATGGCAGCATTCACCAACTTAAACAAGGAGACAGCCCAGAAGAGCTGCCGGAATTTAGTATTTCAATATATTGTCGTGTAAATTTGTTAAATATATTTAAAATGAGATATCAATGTTATTTTCAGGTTTGTGTATTTTAGACAACAATTTATCCATCGCACCCTTGAATAAATTTTCATATGTCAAGAAAGGTTTTGACAAAAAATCAAAAGGAAAAAAAGAATTTGCGACCTGTTTCATCTGATGAAGTCTTAACTGGTAAAACGCGTCACAGAAACCTTTCCAATTTGTCACACACACACACACACACACACACATATATACATATATTGATGCCTGTTTCTTTAAATAATATTGACTATTTTTGTCTATTAATTTTAAGTAAGTTCCTTTCATATTGTCTGATAAGCTTAATAACATTATCATTGAAAAACGAAAGGAAATGACCATATTATACTTATATAAATACACATACACAAACACACACACACGCACACACACACCATATTGATACATGCTTAAATCCAATCTAAGCTTTCGTCTTACATAAGCCATTATCAAAGATGACAATTACATTTCAATATATCAAACAATACACGGACGAAACAATAATGTCTGTTTTTGTTACACTTAAAATAAATAGACAAATCTTGTCTATATTATTTAATGAAACATGCATCAATGAAAAATTGCTGCCTATATATATATATATATATATATATATATATATATATATATATATATATATATATATATATGTATATATATCAAATGTTGGCCAACAGAAGTAATTCGGCTAAGCGACCAGTACTAATGTATTGAGATTTCGGCGTCAACAGAAACTCACATTAATAATTCTTCAAGAATACGACGCAAATCTTGTGCTTTCTCCTCGAATAATGTCTGAAATGGGAAGGAGGTAACCCTAGTGCTACTTTTTATCCGGTCTTATTACGAAAATAAATTCAGTATGTAAACTGTGTCATAGTAATCCGAAGGCTCGAAAGAATATAGAAAGACGTCCTTAAGGTAAGATTTAAGAAACAGGGAAATTCTTTAGAAACAAAGAAAAGGGTACAAAAATGTTACGTAATATCAGTCCGACTATGCAGGAAAATCTCCAACTGACCATGAAGAGACTTAAAGCAACAAAAATGTTCTACAGCAGGATGCTGAGAATAAAAGGAAGCGAACATATGACCAATATGATGTTTTAGAGAAAACGAAACAAAATGAAGCTTATAATTAGCATCAGAAGGAGAAAGTTGAAATTTCTAGGGTGCATAATGAGGAAAGGGGGCTTGGAAAATTTGATACTCACTGGACATATTGAGGGCAGAGAATCAGCTGTAAACAACACAACCTCCCTAGGGAGCATGAGTAAGCAGATGACAGAACAGGGTTGAGAAGAGATAAGAAAAAGTCAAAATCTATAAAGTACAGAAAATTGGGGAGAGCCATGATCGCCAACCTTCTAAAGGGACACGGCACATTAGAAGACGAAGCAGAATCTTTGCGTACGTACCGCCGAGCTTATTGTACAAACTTCTTGTTCCAAACAAGAGTGATACGACATTTTTCTGGAAGCAATCGCTCCTTTCCTTTTATTCGGAACAGAAAACTAATGAAAGCGTGTTCATTACATCCCAAACTTTGCCAGTGGGAATTTTCACATTACTTTTAGTCGAAGACATGTTACGTTCAAGACAGACGAACCGAGTGACCATTTTAATAGCTTGCTATACAGGGGGTTTGATGGAGGCTTATTGATTGAAACACGTGATCACTATTTTGTCTGCATTCACATAAAGACATAAATTCCTCTTGCTGTTTTGTCTTGACTGTGTAGCTGTATACATATATCGATATTAAATGTTCGAACTCTGAACTATATATATATATATATATATATATATATATATATATTATCATAATACGCAAGAGCTATCAGTGTGTACATATATAAGATAATGTAAATAGAATTTGCAGTTAAATACAGAAAAATGAATCATTTTTTAATAGAATTTCATTGTAAATAATGTTTTTTCTCATAACATCAAGGTAATACTTTGTCTCAATGTGAGCTATACCTGAAAGCAGCTGTTCCTTACGCGCGGACACACACACACACACACACACACATACACACATATATATATATATATATATATATATATATATATATATATATGTGTGTGTGTATATGTGTGTGTGTGTATATGTGTGTGTGTGTATATGTGTGTGTGTAGAGGAAAAAGCATGTGAAAAAGCGAAGAAATAATCTTCAAACACGGGTCTACAAATTTAAATGAATTTTGTTAAGC